CATTTTTAGGAAATGTGCTCTCTTCTGTCACATGTGAGCTGTTTCTTCTTCCTCTCACTTGAATTTGTGAGTTTAATTTCCACTCAGTCATGCCTAGGATAATGGGAAATGCCTGCTTCATTACATGTGAATCATCAGTTACTTTGTGTGAATCACCGATCAATTCTAGTTATCTAACGTGTTACATCACACTGGGAGCAATATGTTCAACGTTTTGTATTCAAGGGATCGAACAGTACAATAAAGATTGACTTAGATTGATGTCTCCTCCGGAACTAAAGGTACAATTCAGAATTTTTAACCATCTAAATTCTGATTACATTTCTGTTCGGTTTTATCCCTGGTGCAGTCTGTCTTTTTTAATATTAAAAGCAGCTCCCCTGGACAGTCTAAAGCCAGAAATTAACATACTTACAAGTATTGCCAGTGGAGTGACAGTCTTATATGTTGAGTCACATGCTGAGCCATGTGATGAGCCAGCATAGATGCCGTGTTTTAATGTAATGTCACTTTGGTAGCTTTGTACATGTAAAAGGTTGCTCTCCAGTAGTCGACTTGAATTGACTTCTAAAGTCTTCTGTGGCTCTTCTGAAAAATAACAAATAAAAAGCCTGAAATAAATAAATTAATAAAAGGTCTGAAGAATAACTTCAGTGATGCCTTTCAGTTTAGCTTTGGCTGTGAGGCTTCATTTTTAACAGATATCATGCAAACTGGGGGCATAGGCATTTACTGAGCATGGAAAGTTTAAAGAAAAGAACTGCATTATGGTGTTTTTGGACCTTGACCCATAGAGGAGACTAAAAGTTTGGACATCTCACACTCCAAGTACTCACAGCACACAGTGATTCAACATTAAAGTTTTTTAAAAGGCCTTGTATTAAAATAAATGTTTTGCATGTGGTTGCATTAACCATAAAGTGAAACAGGTAGTGAAAACAAGGATATATACATATATACATTTAAACTGGTTGGGCCTTCAAATGAAGAGCTACTCTATATGAAATTTCATTTGTGCTTAAGATTGAACACATGAACAAAGAACAATAAGCTGCCCAAAACTGACCCAAAAAAACAGACACACTGAACCAGATACATTACACATGCATCTGTTAGAAATTACCATATACACAGTGAGAATTAAAGTGATGCCATCTGGCACCGTGGCAGTGTAGAGATACAGTGTGAACAGAGCAGAGTTTCATGGTCATTATGGGACAGGTATAAATCCCGGACCTTTACAGCACACTGCCGCCTTCCACTGGCTGAGCTAATGGATTGGCTATGCTCTGCAAGCATGTGTCTATGTGTGAGTGTCATGTTTGTGTGTCTGTGAGTGTGTGAGTGTGACGGGGGGCAGGGGGGGTGGCATTGTCAGCTGGTCTTGTGCAGGACAGGGCTTTGTGTCAGGCAGGTCAGCTGGGGCTCGAACGCTAGGACGACACCCCGCCCAAACACACACACACACACACACACACACACACACACACACACACACGCCCCCCCCCCCCCCGCCTGCACACAGACACACAAACAACAAGTGCACACACTCTTTGTGCAGACACTGAAAAACATGCAGCCAATCAGATATAAGATTGAATGTATGCATGTATCCACCCACACTCCTACACCCCCATCCCACCTCACCAAAGGTCTTAAATCATGCTGTCCACTCAAAAGCCATTAGGTCAAACCATTTGTACTGCTTATTAAAATTTGCAACGATGGAGCAATAACAATAATAAAAAAAAGATTTTCTTATCTCTTCAATATTTGAATCAAATAGAAGTGAAATAGGCCAATTCTCATAGCATGTGAGTGGGAACATAAAAGTAAAATTGCAGGGTCATTGTTCAGACAACAGGACTAATGGAGAAACAATAGCAGTCAGCTGAAAGGATGAGTGAACGGTGCAGCTAAAAAAGATTATGGTAGATCCACTGAGATACTGTATTTTATTTGCTAAGTGCGTCAATAGACCATGTGAAAACATTTTATGGTAAATCGTTTCCGACAGTATGATGTAATATGATGTAACCTTTAGTGCAATTCTGTCTGCAAATGTTGAAAGATCACAGCAAAGGGCCATGCTGCTTCCCACGGTTTGTTATTAGTTCAGTTTTAACAAACTGATTTTGATATTGATTTTTGTGTGAATCAGTTGTGTTCTATCAGTATATAGACAGTAAAGCTGTCTTTCTTCTTCACATTAAGAGAACATGTACGTTTACTCGTGACTAAAAATGGGGTGTAAGATTTACACTTGTTTTGTCAGCAACAGGACTTAGGGGCCATATCTTTTCTGTTGTTGTTGTTTGTTCATTTGGAACACAGTACCTTGTATATTTTCCTGTCGTGATGTGTGATTGTATTTCATCCACAAGGCGTTTTGTCACTCTGTGGGATGCTGAATGCTCTACTGCCTTAGAGGGGCTTGTACTCCAGCAGTGAGATGGTGTGAAAGTGTGTGTTATTTGTGTGGTTGTGTAAGGGTGTGTGTAAGAGAGTGAGCCAGAGTGTGTATGTCTGAACAAACAGCATAAAGGAAGGATGGTGGTAAATCACTATAAAACTGAAACTCTCCAGCCCTCTCATTGTGAGGACTAGTCATTTATTTAACACTCAAATATGGTCCTGGGCTGTTTGGGGAGAATACATCAACCGGCACACAAGAGTCCAAACAAAGAGCGGCACACTTCAACAGACAAAGAGCGAAAAGAGAGAGGGAAAGCGCCTTTTTTTTCTCCTTCAGATGAAGTGTTGTTTGTTCAGGGTGGGTGCAGGGCACCGAGTGGGACGGATGGATTGAGGGAGGGACTGATGGAAGAAGGGAGGGAGGGAAGGATGAATGGTTATTACACAGTTAGTCAATGCACAAATGGGGGGGTGTCTGTGGGTGATAGTGGGGAGGGGGTGGGTGCACGGGGAGGGTGTAAAAGATCTTTTGTGAAGGCTGGGAGTTAATCACTTGAGCGGCACACGCCAGTTCTATGGGAGCACATGTTGTACACTGACTCCCCTGGGGGGAGCAGGAGGTCCCAAAACTCGCGCACACACATACACACACACACATACACACACACACACACACAGCTGAATTTACATGTCAGTTATAATGCAAAGCTGGGTACAGGCCGATTAGAAAAGCAGGAAGACCCACCCCCTCCACAGAACAGTTAGCAGACCCTCCTGGCCGTGGTGATAGTGTGAGCTCTGCATTCGCTGCTGGTTCATTCAAGGCCGTGCACACACACAGACACACACACATGCCTGCCTGTTCGGTTTCTCCAGGACTTGTTAGATGACTCTGCAGAGGCCTTGCTAGAGATGGATGCTTGGTTTGACCTGGCAGTAAGTAAAATCTATTGTTTCATTACTTCAGTCCCGTGTCAGTGGTGGATGCTAATATGTGAGAGTGATAGTGAAGACTGGGGTTTAGATTTAGTGGCAGACATCCAGGCACAGTGGAATAGAGGCAGTCACAGTCATGTCAGAGACTATCTACATCAGTGCCACAGGGGAATGCTTTGCTTTGTACTCGTGAAGGTACAAATTTAACATCATATACCATTACTCAACATCAGTAGCTGTTTACTTTGTGGAATATATTTTGAATTTCATTCTGAGCAAAATAGGAAATCAAAACGGATGCTGTGCTGGAAGATTTTGTTCATGATTAGAAGGTTTCATGCAATTTAGGGATATCTCTCTTTTCCTGTATTCACCTCAAATAAACTGTCAGCTTCGTCCTCTGCCATAACCACCACTCGAACTTTCCTTCCTCCCTCTGTATGCGTGCTACTCTGTCTCACTTAGTGTCTCTCTGAAATTCTCCTGCCATTATTCTCCTCATCATGAAACATCTATTTTGTACATGTCTCATCTGACTTATCATTGTTTTCTGGGTGATGAAAAGTGACAGCCTTGATCAGCGCTCCCTCCTTCATTTAGCATTTTCCCCTTCAAGCATGCTCATCAAACACCTCAGGAAAATGACACTGACAGCTATTTGTCCCCTTACAAACACCATCCTATAACCAATAATTATGGATTAGTCTCGAGTCAAATGCTACAATAACATGTGATTTACAGTGGGCCATTAGCCCCAAGCATTGTTGCTGTGGCTATTATAAAATGGTTAAAGACTGAGGACCAGGTGGTTAGGGGAGCCCATAAGCCCCAACAGCCAGTATGGAGCCTTTTCCTACTAAGTCACTGCTGAGGGAAGTTTTCCCCTGTGGGTTAGAGATCATGACGAGCTACATCTGGGGTCTGGTTGCCTTTAAGAGAGAGGTGGGGACAGTGGATAGAGAGCATCACAAGTAACTCTGTGAAATGTCCATGTAGACTGTAAGGGATAATTTTTTTTAAATATTTTTTTTTTCTGTGCTTCATCCAATCTTTATTTATTTAAAATCCAAGCTAATTGAATTATTAAAACTTAAATATTTCGGTGTGGTCTGTCTATACAATGTTCAAGTGCAATAGCAAATACAAAATGATTGCATAGTGTTATTTAGATGGCAGCACCAGCTAAGTGTTGAGCAGGCAGTAAGCAGCCTAACTGCCAGTTTGTTTAGAGGAAGGGCACCTAAAGGGTTATTTGTCAAATTCAACGGCCAAGCCATAAATCTAGACACACAAAGCCGGGCAGGATGCCAAGATGGACTTTTCTTCACTTTGTTTGTTTTGCAAATGTGAATACACCTGCTCTTCATCACAAGATGTCTGGACTGAACAGGAAACAATAAAATTAACATTCTAACACTAGAAAATGATAAACACCAGAGGCAACTATTATATGGCTTTGTCCTTTCATGAAAAAAATCCTCTGTTCAAGGACCAATATTTATCTTCTTTGTGTATAATGTGTGTCATACCTTTCTTGTCCTGCAGATGAAGCCGCTGACTGTACTTCTCTGGGGTCATGAGTTGTGTCTTCTCCTCTCTTCTGTGTAACTCGACCGCCTGGATTTCAGCCCCACCTTGCGCCCACCTATGCCTGCAGGACCATGGGTAGTGTCAGTAGCCTCATCAACGGCAACAGCCTCAACAGCAAACACTGCAAGGCGTCTGAGCATAGGTTAAAAAAGGGAACAAACCATCATAGAAAGAGTGGAGGCTGCAGCCTTGACGGGTTACTGAAGTGTGGCTTCACTCAGGGCTCCTCATCCACCACTTATCCCTCTAAAGGCCTCACCCACTCCCGGTCAGGACGAAGTGAAGATTTTTTTTACATCAAGGTGAGCATATGTGCCTTCTTGTCACATTTATATAACAACATTCATTGCGCTGCTCTGAGATCAAATGTTTATCCTGTTTCACACAAGGTGAGCCATAAACCGAGGTCAGTGTATCACAGAGGAGGATCAATGGAGGACCGAGGGAACAGAGATGGGGAATCAGATGGGCGACTGCAACCGAAGCTGCTGCTCATGTCAGGGAAAATGACGGAGAGGGTGAGCGAAATGACAATTTTTCCACAAGATTATATGCTTTTTTTTTCAACAATTTAGATTAAAATATTAATGGCAAACTCTATATATCTATATAATAAATATGTATCTTAGCATATGACTGGAAACAGGGGGAAACAGTCTGGCTCTGTCCACAGGTAACAAAATTGGCTTACCAGTTACTCTGAAGCTCACAAATTAACACACAATATATCATTTGTTTACTCTGTAAGAATAAAAGCAACAATTCTCAGTTTTACAAGGGGATGTGTGGCGTATTATTTTTTGGCCCAGTGCAGTTGCCAGGCAACCAGAGAAACTCCAGGATGTTAATGCTTACAGCAAAGAAATAGTTCAGCGCATACCCCCCATGTAAAATGGAAAACTTTGGTTTTTAGCACAGGATACACAAACAATATAAATTGTGCCAATTAGTGAGTTTTAGAAGTGCCATGGGGTCAGTTTTGTTACCTTTGAACAGAGCCCGGCTAGCTTTTTAGCCCTGTTTCCAGGCTTTATGCTAAGCTAAGCTAACCTGCTGCTGGCAGTAGCTCCATATTTAGCATGCAGCTTTGAGAGTGGTATCAATCTTGGCAAGAAAGCAGATAAGTGTATTCCCTTAACTATTCCTTTAAGATTTAGACATGATAGATTGTAATCTGTCTCATAAAACATAGCTTCAACTATGCTTTACATGACTGGAACCATTGCTATGATTTTTCTTATAATCATTTAAAAAATCATACTGCATAACTGCAACAGACTTTAAAAACCTCACAGCGAAGTTGAGGATAAAACATGCACAGCAGGTGGTTTAATAGGTAGCAGCCGTTCCATATTACCTGTGCTGAACCTTCCCATCTTATTAATCACCCCCTCCCAGATTAATGACCTAAGAATGCCTTGATCTTCTCAGAGAAGTCATTTCTGTGCCAGGAATATGAAAGCGAACAGAGACTCCTTCAATAGGTCTTTATTCCTCTGGGGCAAGACGGGGGGGGGGGGGGGGGGGGGGGGGGGGGGGTAGGAAGCAGCTTTAAAAGAGACAGAGCAGAGAAGAAAGGAGAAAAGAGAGAAGGATCGAGGGCCAAAGAGAGTTTGAGGGATAGAAAGAGAGAGAGAGAAAAAAAAACAAGGCAAGGCATCCCAGTCATGAAGTCAGTGAGAAGGAATGCTGAGCTCACAAGCTTTACCTCTTCCACTTCAGCAGTAGCTCATATTATTAATATCACAGAGAGGGGCTATTCATCTTCCCTCAGACAGCACATGGGGGAGAGATGCGGGTTGCAGAAGGGAGGAAAAGAGGACAGAAGGGAGGGGAGGTATGGTACTGCTTGTGACGTTCTTGGACAGCACAGATGGGGCATGTGGAGTATAAGTTCATCTTTGAAATGAGTTTTCTCCATTATGACAGTCTAGTGAATTTTACTTGCAACTACTGTTGTGTGGCTTTTAATACCGTCAGCTTGTAGTGAAGCAATTCTGCACGCTTCACTGGTTCTATTTCTAATATGAAAAGACATGATTGGAAAAAACATCTATCCCTTTCATTTGTACAGACTTCTACCACGTGACAATATTTATCTCTCTGAAAGCCAGTCATTATGATTTTTCAAGTTTCAGAATGTGACTCATCCTCGGCTTTTTGCACTTTCCGTAACAGTACAAGAGGACTATCTTTTTGCCGTGCTGTCAGCTAAGAGAAGCCACTGAATATGAAAACAAAAATAGGGGAGGGCACCCCTGACTGTGTGTCATTTCACTCTTCCAGACCTCTGCTGAGAAGTCATTGGTCCGTTCCACTGCCTTCAAGCCTGTGATTCCCAGGAGTACGTCCTCCACAGAGACAGGCCAGAGCAGCCTGGACCACATCCTCTGTCCTCTGGTGAAAGCAAGGACTCCAGACATTAGACACAAGCAAGACACTTTCTCAGGTCTTTGTCTATTCTATATTGGTCTTAAAATGAGATTATTCAGGTTGAATGACAAATTACACTCAAACCAAATGTCATCCCTTTTCCTTTCAGGGACTCTCTCAGACTCCGGACGTAACTCTATGTCTAGCCTCCCCACCCACAGCACCAGCGGCAGCCTAAGTGCTTCCACAGGCCCTGTCAGTCACAGCGACGGCAGCTCAGCTCCCGCAAACAGCCTCAGCAAGGGAGTACAACCCAGTTTGCCTTCATGGGTCAGTGGGAATAGCGCTAACCTTGACTGTAGCTACAGGGCTGTTTTAAACAGCAGTGGGATGGCTTCTAAGGCTAATGGGGATGCTGGCTCCCCACTTTCTGCAGATGAGCCAAGCCCTCTCTCTGAAACTGCAGGTGGGATTCGCTCCCCTATTACTACAGATGAGTCACTGATTGAACGTTTGGAACAAAGGCTGCTGGAGAGAGAGACTGAACTGCAGGAGCTACAGGTACCAAGCTGTAATAAAAAAAAAATAATAAAGCATGTGTTCAAGATCAGCATCCCTCATTAGTAGTTGGACTGTACAAGTGTGTGAGATTTTTTTATTTAGATTTGTTCACCTTACAACAGGTGAGTTTTGAGGAGAAGGAATCAGACACCTGCCAGCTGTTTGAGGAGAGACAAAAATACTGCGCTGAGGAGATGGAAGGGCTGAAGCAGCGATGCTCCACGAAGCTACGACAAGTGTCCCAAATGGCTGCAAAAGCCCATCAAGCACTCCAGCTGCAGGTCAGCCAGCTCCAGGTCAGCCCAGCTCCTCTTTTCTTACCAGTCCCCATTAAGTCTGGTTCATTATCCCATCAAGCCTCTCACCCTTTCCAGCTAATCAGTAAATCAAATAAGATCAATATTTCACCATTAGGTGCACAGAAATTCCACACTTTGCACATAAGCAAAACTTTGTGAAATGAACAATCGAATCTTGTACAGGCGGAGAAGGAGAGGCTTCAGGAGGACGTCTCAAAGTTAAGCCGGGAGAAGGATCTTGTCCAACTCAGACTGAGGTCTTATGAGACTGAGAGCACACAGTTGGCTCCAACACTCGAGGAAACTCAATGGGAGGTGAGCCATGAGTCATACGTGTGATATCAGTTGGATTTGAAACCTTGCTGCATACAATACAATCTGGTACAACCTTCCTGCTGGGGTGTGGAAACATGGTGTTTTTCCATCACTAGAGGAGAAAATCCAAAATGTTGTATCATTTTTAATAAGAAACTGAAATCATAAAAGAATCAGAGATATCAACTTCCCCATTTTCCTAAGTAGTTCACAATGCTGCCCTTTTACACCAAGAGCATGACTTACTTTTACCTAAATAAAAAAACCTCTTTCTTTGCCACAATATTACATTGTTTTATCTTCATAATTGCCTCTGTCCAAATGTAGGTGTGCCAGAAGACAGGCGAGATCTCACTGTTGAAGCAGCAACTGAGAGACAGCCAAGCGGATGTCAGCCACAAGCTAAACGAGATAGTCAGCCTGAGGGTGTCACTGAAGGAGAACACAGCAAAGATGGAGATGCTCCAGAAACAGAATAAAGACCATGAAGACAAACTCCACTCTCGCACTATAGAAGTTGAGGTTAGTCTGTTGAGTCTGTGATTCAATGGCAAGTCACTGCACAATGTTTAAATAAGGACTATGAATAAAATGCCCACAGAGTGCTTATAAGATGAAAGCACTTTTATTGGGGAATTATAGTTACTATTATGTGATACACTCAACTGCAACATTCAGACCTTTCAATGTCTGTGTTTTAGAAGACATATATAATCACAGTCTTTACTGAGAGAGCTTATTTGACTCTCTACATGATTAGGCCTGTTATATCAGTCAGAATAATCATCTTAATTGCTGCCTATGTCTGAATATTTTCCATTTTTAATTCAGGTTTGCCAAAATGAACTCCAGCGCAAGAAGAATGAGGCTGATTTGCTGAGAGAAAAAGTGGGCAAACTGGAGAAAGACATTCAGGGAATGAAACAGGATCTGGCCACGGCCAAAGAGCAGAGGCTGCAACATAGTTTGCAACTTGAGGGCAATGCCCAGACTCAGGCCTCAGAGAAACTAATCCAAGGCTCAGGCTCCCCTGCTCAGGGCCAGGGGGAGGAGAACAGGGAAAACATCTCCGCAGATCAACTCCGGAGAGACGTTGAGAGACTGAAGCGGCAGCTCAGGGAGGAGAAGGACGCTCAAGAGAAGCTGGCCAACAGCTTTGAGCAGGAGAGGCAGACGTGGAACAAGGAGAAAGACAGGGTCATCAAGTACCAGAAGCAACTCCAGATCAACTACCTGCAGATGCACAAGAAGAACCAGGACCTGGAGAGGATCTTGAAGGAGCTGACCACTGAACTGGAGAGCCGGACAGAGCTAGGCATGGACCTTACCTACAGCTCAGGGTTACAAACATATGACGATGTTATTGCCACAGAGATTTGATGGGAGCACTCACTCACGTGCTAAAACTGATACTGTCACTAGACTGTTTTTTGACCACGGATATTTATGTGACTCAATGCCACATGCAACATCACAACAACTGGAGCTCATTCACTGTAGTGTTTTTGGAGGTTTATTTAATAGAACATGCATCTGGTGGTGTTTTGAGTCCAGGGTGTAAAAAACAGTAAAATTATACTTAGCTTTTTGTGATGACACTGTTACTACTTGCTTAAAAGTTAAAAAAAAAAAAAAACTAAGTTATTTAATGTTCAAATGAGAATATGTTTTATTTTTTTACCACGTTATCTAAGGATCACTCATCATTCAAATAATGCACAACTTTGTCACTTATTCATTTTTAATTGATACAGGCCAGACAATGCCTGACGGTAACACATGATAAGCATGATTGTGGTTGAACATCTGTCCCTTCAGTCCCTTCAGAAAATGACAGTGATATATCATCCATTGTGTCTGGGTTCCTAAAGCTTCATTTACTTGGCCTTGTGTATCCATTTTACTGTATTCTCCCAAAACAGTTGTAAACTATTTCAAAAACAATGCACGTGTCTTATGTTGTGACATGTCTACACCATTGTAAAAAAAAATATGTTTTCCACCACAAATACATGTTAGAATCACTTTCAGCTGTCATGTACTTTCACCCTTACATTCAAAGAGATAATAGTGCAATTAATATATTTTTTTATTAGATCATCTGCATGTTTTTGTCATTCTCTGAATCTTGTAAACACTTTAAAGCCTTCTGTTACTGAGAACATTTCAGTGATCAGTGAATTCAACTTCATTAAGACACACAAGTGTCTATTTTGGTGTCATATTATGTGACAATATACAATAACCATCTCTCCACTGATCTTATATTTAATATATGAAATATTTCTTTTTTCATGAACACTATTGTCTGAAATGGGTTCAGGCAGTTAGATGTAATCTAACTGTCCTAATTAATTTACTAAGGCTTCTTTAAGCAACACAAGCAAGGATTAAAACTTTGGCTCAGACGACAGTGAGTTCTTTGTTAAGTAAGCTGTAGGCCCTACATCTGAACTATGCAGAGAATGGAACATTTATTATTCTATCAATATGTCTTGTTAATGCACACAATATAGAATGGTATATACTAGAGATCACCTCTGACAGATACCAAAGACAAATGCAAATGTTGGCATTCACTCTCTGGTGTGTGTGTTTAGAGGGACAGAGGTTGAAGGGGGCTGGATAGAGTAAAATAAAATCAAATATTTAAGAGAGAAACAAAAGGCAAAAAGGTGATCTCTTGGTAGTAGGCTTCATGAGAGTTAGCTGGCACTGTTCCACTTGGAGACAAACAATCGTTCCGATTATCAGCCCTGGCCATTTGGCTCTACTATTCTGGAGCTATTCCACTTCCCACAAGGGCAAAGTAGTTTGTGAAGCAGAAGTTTAACTACTACACCCACTCAATACTCAGGGGCTTGCACAGACTATCAGGCTGAAGTATATACACACACTGCTCTGGTCAAGAATGTGTGTCAATCTCTGTAATGAGGCTACTTGAGAATGCTCAGCTACCTGCTCTTACATTACATTACCATGGCAGTTCAGGAGAGATTCGGAGGCAGACAGACTAAGTGGAACTCTAAGGTGAGGTGCTGTAACTAGTGACACTCAAACTCGAGTGTCTGCTAAGTGTTTTACAGCCTTTACTCTGGGCCTTAGCACAGAAAAGTGATCAAATAGGGAAGAAGCAAAATTACGTTTGATAATGCAGCTTTGGTACTGGAAAAAAAAAAATCTTGGAATCCAACACACAAAAATAAACTTAAAGCAACTTGTACACCTTGGGCAAAAAAACCCCTCAGTGAATTGGTCTGTGTTCTGAGATAGAACTGGAAATAAGTACCAAAAAACAAGCAAGGGTGCAAACACGTAGGTGATTTGAAAAGCAGAAAATATTTGTCATTTGTGTATCACTGCTCCCTGTAACACTTTTGCTGTATTCTGAAAAAAAGTGAATATTACATCTATCTCAGTAGACACACTTATTCATGGGGATTCTTTTTGGCAAAAGAACACAAAGAAGTGAGCAGGTGTATATGTTTAAATATCACCAAATATACTATTGGACTTTGCTTCTTTTCATTGCTAAAATGATCCTTTAATGCACTTCACGTTGAAAGGCATATATGGGTGAATACTTGACTTCCTTCATTACGTAAACAACACCACAATAGACAAAACACTGTAGCTATAAATCTATAGAGGTATTAGATTTACAACAAAAAAAAAATTGTCAAAATCTTGTTACTATTTATTACACTTCACATGCATTTGCTGGATTTTGGACTCAGAAATAAATATGAATGTTGTTATATATTCAAAGCTGTCTTCAACTGCACTCTTTGTCAGTTCCTCATTATCATTCTCAATTCCTCTTGGACTTAAATAATAATGAGAAGATTGTTTTCTTCTCCCGTCTAATCATCTAATTTCAGCCCATTGATAGTGTTTCCTTCCTCACACAGCAGCTCCTTCCAGCTTAGCTTCTGTCATAACTAAGCTGATTGGACGAAATCAAAACTGAAATCAAATTAAGGCCCATTGTCAGTGTGTGTGGCTCCGTTACTGACATGAAAGGAGGACCACACAGAAGAGATAACAAGAAATTCAAAGCTGCTGGTTTGACAAGAAAGAAAATAACAGAACTGGGTGGGTGGGGGGATTTCTTCCTCAGAATAACCATATAGCAGACATCATCTTCACTTATACAACTGTATATAATAAACATGAATCCCTGCTGCTACATTTTCCTGTGCTTTAAACAATAAGTATGCAGCCATTTTCTGATGTGCTTTAACAGCAGAATATTTGAAAAAAATGATTAAACTTTAACTTCCAACTTCCATTTATCTTTTTCATAAAATCTACCATTGTCAATTAAGGCATGTAGTAGCAGCGAGGGTTTTTGGGCAAGTTATGATATACTATTTCTTTTTATGGACTCAGCTGAACATAAAGAGTTGTAGTCCAGCAGATGTCTCAGTGTGATTGGACAGCAGTGATGCAGCCATAAGAAGACACTTGGTGATAATTTAGCCCTGCCCTGCAGTGACATGATAATAATGCACTCATATCCTGCTGTGATTCTCCTGATCGGCTGACAGTCAAGCACAAAAGGGATTGAATTCATTAGCAATGGGGAGGCACATTTGCAAACCGTGTGTTCACCATACCAAAGGGATCTCTGGTCACATATTAATAGCAAACAAATGTAATTATTTCAAAAGTTGTTCTATGATAGCAATAAATTATTGGTCTCCTGTGAAATGGGAGTTTGCGCCTCATTGCGTGCCTCGACCCTCACCTCCAACATTATAATAAATATTCCATACTGGTAAATAATAAATGAGTCAATAACAGCCTATCAGTTTCTACCTTACCCTCATTCCTCATTACACACTCACATACTCAAATGTGCTATATCCCAGCCATACCCCTAAGCAATTAGTTGTTCTAAAATATCAGGGGACTAGTTATTCAGGCATGTACTTCATATTTTTATTGGTTTATTCAGAACCTTGCATGCAGACCAAGCTACAGCAAACACAGCCTCAGCAAATCCCTAAGCTCCTCCACAGTCAGCAAAGTAATTGGGGAGGGAGTCCCAAAGGGTCCTTGCACAGTGCTGAACCCTTTGCTACCGACAAGTTGAAATGGCACTGAAGGTAGATAGGAGTCGGTGCTTGTGTGTTGAGTGTGCGTGGAGGATATAAGTACAGGAGGTGGCTTGAGTACTTTGTGTAAATAGGCCCGCAGTCTTTATAGACTCAGTGGTTGGCTTGGAAACCATCTGGTTCCCCAAACCCCCAGCTGCTTTGCCCATGGTTCCCCATTTCTATGGGGATGTCAATTTCTGCTCATGGGGGTGGAGTTGGGAGGGAAGCAGCAAGGATGCCAATTTAAGCCCCCATTGCTCAAAATTAGTTAATTAACTCTATCTCTCACACATGCAGAGAGAAACTTCCTTTGTAAGTAATTCTGCCATTCATCACAATCCAACTCTTCCATTGTGAAGCTTTGCCAACTATGAGCTTGTGAAATTAGCAGGAACAGTTGAATGTGAATAAAAAAAAGCCCCACAAGTGAATCCATAATATTAAATAAGCACAAACACAGAAAATGGGTTGAAACAAATTTCAAAATTAGATGCCAGATTCTTGCTTTATCTGCAATTCCAACTTCACTGATAAGAATAATGCAGTCAAATTAATTTTGTTTGGACATTCATTTATTGATGTTTCCAAATCAATGTATCTCGCATATTCATGGAATATTCTTATCAGAGTCACAGTAACTACTACCACTGTCTACCATGAGGGAGAAGATATGTGGGTCAGTGTGCGTGTCCCTTATCAAAACAGACTGAGCATCTAATGAGATCTACTCATATTTACAAATACTGACAAAAAGCCATACACAGTATATACAAAAAATGTCAGGTTTTAATTCACAAAAATCAAGTGTGTCAGTTTTGTACATTGACTCTGTGCACTGAAACAAAGTGATCATAACCTGTGGTGATGATAAACCGAAGGTGGGTTGCACTGCTTCCATTTAGCTGAAAGAGAAAATAAAAACAATCAGTTGTTTTACCTGTTGATTCTATGGATTCATGTTTGACATATTTTCATTTTGACTTACCGATATAGCGTTTGACTGAAGATGTCCTTCTGTATGTTCAAATTCTATAAATGTATATACATTCAGGTTGTTAATCCCAAATCCAATTCTATGGCATTTAAACCAAATGTGCAAACAGATGGATGGCCCCCTTACCTTTCTCTGTGACAGACTCAAATTGAGAAGCATTTTGTGAGGTATTCTTTTCTATCTTTAGATGCTTAACTGCAAAAGAAAAAAACATGGCTATAAAGATATCCATGAACGGAATCAAACACTGAAACAACACAAATTAGGCATATTTTTCTTTTCAGTAAAACATATAATCTTAGATTTTGTGAAATGTGGTTAAATGTGGTAAACTGTGTTGGTTCACCACTTTGGTCGACAACTTTTGTATGGATCGTCAGGAAATTTGCGATGTGCATTCAAGCCAGCTTCCAGATCATCTGTGATCACTTTGGTGCACCCTTGATTTTTCATCTAGCGCCTTGATTAGGTCAAAATTCCAATTTGCCCAATACTTTGGGTTTATGACCAACTACCAGCAAAATTAATGACACTCCCAACACCCTCAGCTGTCCTTCATGTTTATTGCAAATTAGCAGATGCTAGCATGCCAACATACTAAACTAAGATGGTGAAAGCATTATACCTGCTTCACATCAGCGTGTTAGCATTGTCATTGTGAGCATGCTGGTGTCAGCATTTAGCTCATAGCAGAGCCTTAGACCATTAACACACTGAATGTGTGGCGTGTGCATGGTGTGTGCGTGGCAGGTGCGGAACATCTTCCTTTTCATTTTGGTACCCATGTTAACGGGTTATAGTGGACACACGTCACAGTACCAGTAACATGGCTGTATTTTTGTCCAGTCGTGTTTTTCTTCCTTCAGATGACCATACAGTCAGTTCTTGTCTAAAATCTTCCAAATCAGTCATTTTGACCATGTAAATACTGACATGTATAATTTAAGACTTTCTGTAATTCTGATTACAAACACTACTGAGCTGAAGAAACCCTAATAAGTCTAAGGAAAATTAGTCTTGACTTCATTTCAACAAAAGATTTGACAAACAGTCTGGTGTCTAAGGTTTTCCAGTGTGCAGACACTGGAAAACCTTAGACACAAGGGTGCTCTGTCGCCTTTATTGTTTACATTATTGATTGAGCCCTTGGCCGAGGTCATCAGGACTAATCCCAACATAAATGGGATTACAGTCTGTTAAGAAAACCATGTTATTTCCCTATTTGTGGATGATGTTCTTCAGTAGGAATCCTGGAAAATTCATTTCGACAGCTCTGAACTCTGTAGCCTCATTTGGTACTCTGTCAGGTTATAAAATTAATCTAGGAAAATCTGTTGCTATGCACTTCAATATCCCCCAGAGTATGCCCATACAATCTCCCTCTCAGGTGTAAGAGAGGGGTCTCAGATACTTTTCATCACTGCTGAACCACATTTTTTCTGTACAATTTCTGTACACGAACAAAACTTTTGAGACTAATTATTCCCCTCTAATTCAAAAACTTAAAAGCGACTTGAAGAAGTGGACCCTCATGCCAACTCCCTTCTTTGGGAGAGTCAGTGTAATAAAAAATGAATATCCTTCCCTAATTAAATTATCTATTTCAAAATCTCCAATGCTATTTGACCCCAGCATTTTTTTAAAGTCTTCTAACTCTTGTTATTGGAATAACATCAATAACATCAGAGAGTCAGGTTTGTTAAATTTACTAAGCCGAATGAACTGGGACGTTTATCCCTGCCCAATCTATAACTCTATTGGTCAGCTCAACATAAAATGATGAAAAATTGGTTTATGGATAGGCAGGATTCTTTATGGATTGGTCTTCAACCATATCCTAGAAGGTTTAAATCCCTCCCCCTTTATCAACAATATAGATCAGATAAATTCTCTTAACAATAATATTATTATTCATAACACTACTGGTTTGGAGGGATGAGAGGACATGTTTAAATATTCCCTCTGTTATTGGAATCCTGATTTTCTGGCACAGATTAGTAGTACTGGTCTGATGGAGTGGGTTTTCAAGGAACTATCAGATTTTACAGGCCTGCTGATCTCTGACTCTTATAAGTCTTGGATCAAATTAGAACTGATTTTAATGTTCCTCTTAAAGATTTTTTTCAAATGTCTCCAAATCCATCACTTTATAGAGTCTTTTTAAGGAGGCATGGGATCCGTGTGAGACTGTAGGAATTGGAAAATGCCATAGTCTTGGCCAAATCTCTAATAGGAATAATTTCAGAGATTTATGCTCCACTGCTGTACTCTGATTTCTCATCTTATGATTCCCTGAAGCCGTTGTGGGAGTGTGATCTGGAGGTGACATTTGGTTCTGCAGATTGGAAAGATTTGCAATGGCACCTTTCCAAAATCTACTTTAATGTCCATACATGAACAAAACTAGAAGACTTATTTCACAGCTATTCACCTCCAGAAATTGTTTTCCATCAGCTCAAATCTCTGTTATGAATGTAAAATACACAAAGGTATGTTTATACACTTTTTTGGTCATTTGATCACATTCATGGGTTCTGGAAAAAGGTTCATTCTGTGATCCAGGAGGTTACTAATCAACAGTTTCAACTGTCTTCTTCATTTTATCTGTTAAACCATACACCTGAAAATCTTTTTGATACAGACATCAAATCTGTGTTAATAATTATTTTATTTCTGGTTAGCAATGTGGATCTCCTGCTGGACAAACTACTTCCTGATGTCAATCATAAATTGAACAAATTCCAGGGGCCCCTTTACATTCTTTAGAGACTCTGATTCCCTTGCCCTTAGAAGGCAATGGCTGATTGCTTCATCTGGATGTGCTGTTTATTTAAAAGTTTGGACACATTTTCCCAAAGTGTGTCCAAACTTTTGACTGACACAGCTTTTTGTGGTTTTTCCTTTACTCCCTCTCCCTCTCCCTCTCTCTCTCTCTCTCTCTCTCTCTATCTATCTATCTCAATTTAACTTTTATATACTACAGCATCTGTTGTTGGTTTGGACTTTTCTGTTTAATTTGTTTTTCTCTTCGCTATTGTTGTCTATGTTGAAGGGTGTGTATGTGTTGTAATTTAAAAATCAATGAAAAAAAGAGTAAAATTTCATATTGTCTATGTTAACAAGAAAAGACTTACAGTTTGAATTTGATCAAAATGACTAGTTTAATAGCTTTTATTAATTCATTTCTTAAGATAATGACACAGCTTGTGTTTGCAATTTGTCATGGGGGACTTCAAGACACAAAACAGCAATTCTTTGCTTGATTTCTCAATGTATTCGACTGCAACAGTGTGTGTGATAGTATCACAGCCTCCATACCATTGTAGCTGTCCACAGTCACAGCAGAGATCTTCTTGGGTTCAGCAAAGCGGATGATGAACTCCTGAGGAAACATCCCGGTCGACATCCAAAAGGTTTTAGTGTTTCTGGGTGAAAGGGACAAACAAACATTAAATGTTAACATTGAACCAACGGGTTAGGGAGCATTGAACGAAGCGAACACCTGACTTTAACTTTCACTGTAGCGACTCAAGTATGAGCAGAACAAGCTACACTCACCCGTCAATGATGTTTTCTGGTGGGTGATTCTCATCGCTGGATGCAGCGACGACAACTTTTGCTCCCAAAGAACTCAGAGAGGAATCGATCATCTTCAGTGGATCACAAGAGAGAATATGATCTTCGGTGCCACCTGGTTGAGGAGGATAACAAGAGTTTCGACAGTAATGCACAACAACCTGTTGTTTTAGTTTACGGGTCTTGGGGAAGTGGACAACTAGCTACTGCCGTTGCCTAGCCAACCACAGCGTCGCAAGATATATACGTCAACATCATTGTAGTACGTCACCATTTCCGACGCACGTTGGTCGTTATTTGTTTAGCAATTAGCACTTAGCAGTGAAATCTGCACACCTTCACATGGCGAATGGATGCAAAGAGGTGTTGTTTACTCGCGGAACTGGTCAGGTTAGTCACGTTGCACCACTGAACTTCAGATGACAGCACTTGTGCAGTTTTCCAGGCCGTTGTAGGTTTGGTGGAGATGGAGAGCTAGGATGCTAAGCTACAAGCCAACGCTGAGTTGGGCTAAGTTGGGTAACAAAGAGGAAAGGAACAGAAAAAGAGGTGAAATTAGAGATCCTCGTGGTCCCTGATTTCATTAGTCGAGATAAAGCCTTGTTTTAATACAATGTCTTGGACAAACCACATGAATTAGGTTTAGCTGCACAAAGATGTCGCACTTAGACTGCTGTAGCATCCTTTCTACTGTGTAGAATATGCAAAGGTAAACATGTCAGGTCAGATGCAAACACTGAGTGCACTTAGAAACTGTACAAACTATAAATTTTTCCACAACCTTTAACATCTCATCTGTCTTCTTTTCCATTAAATAGGAAATATTTGTTTAAAATAGTTTTTCGTCTGTAGAGGCTCCATATCTGCTGTTCTCTTTTCCAGAGTGATGATTCAGATATATGGGATGACACAGCGCTGATAAAGGCTTATGACAAGGCAGTTGCATCATTCAAGGTAAAATCGGTGCTTTGCACTGTATGTAGGTGTAAAATCCTTATATTTGTGTTTTCCACTCATGGTGAGTCTCTGCTGTTGCTTTCTTTGACAGACCGCCCTCAAAGGTGAAGATGAGCCACAAGCCTCCAAGAAAAACCAGCCAGGAAAAAAGCGCAAAAACAACAAAAAGAACCAGAGCAGAAAAAGAACCAATGCACCACCAGATAAAACGGTTTGTAACTGGCACCAAAAAATACTGATAAAGATAGAAGTATGGAGTCATAGGACTGCCATATAAAAGAATAAGTAATTAATAATGGATAGATAATAATTAAGTTAATAAAAAAATGTGAAAATAGAAAAATAAATAAATAATAAAGAAAACTTATTTATGTGTGTCACAGTGGCAGGTTGGGGACTCATGCTGTGCTTACTGGTCAGAGGATGGCCAGCTTTATGCAGCCACCATCTCCTCCATAGATCAGGAGAGGGGCACTTGTACAGTTGTTTATACAGACTATGGCAACGAGGAGGAGCAGAACTTTGAAGACCTGCTTTCAGAGTTTTCTGAGGGTGATGAGGAAACAAATATAAAGGTAAAGCAAAGCAAATGAAACACAGTATACTCAGTGTTTTTTATTATATTTTTACACTCTTACCTGTTTATTTCACCAGTTAATGGTGATGTATAATGCATCTCTTCAGTCCATTTTCTTTGGCTGTGTTTTTTGTATTATTTCCACATACCAAATGTAGAAGATATGATGTCAGGTCCAAACAACAAAATCTGATAGCATAAATGAAATTTCTTATTGTAAAAGTCAGGTTTTGCTGTCACTCTGTCAGAATCAAAGGGAAAGGCCTTCTGTTCAGACTCGACATTTTACATTTTCAAAATTGATAAACTCCTTTCACACATGCACCTTCATTTGTAGAGAGATCACTCATTTTACCCTCCACTCATTCCCTGATGCAGTTCACACAAGGTTAAGCCTTTCCCGCTGCAAATATGAGAAATTAACAAAATTAACAGTATGTCAGAAAAGTGGGATTAAATGATTGGCAAGTTACCTCTGATACTGTCCTTTAAAAAAAAAATTAAAAAAAATACATTGTCTATTTTCATTTGGCTGCTGCATATAAAAGTAGGAAGTTATTGACAGATGAGGTAACTTGAGGCAAAGAGATTTACGGTGCTTGATCTTCATCAAATAAGAACTCCTGGAATGCAATGAACAAAACAAAATAATTTCTATCTCAGTCAATCTGAGGATTAAGTTTTAATTGGTATAGCACTTGCTTCTTCTTCTTGCTTCCAAAATAAAATTAATATGTATTTCAGAAGATATCTGCCAAGGTATGAAAAGAAAAATGACAAATAAAGGTTAAAGCAGTTTGTCTCTGCTATTAAGGTAAATGAGGTGGAATCGTCCACAGAAGAGAGTGACAGGTCAACCACACCAAACCAACATAAACAACAGCCACACAGTAAAGGCCAAAAGTCCAAGGCCCACAAAGACCCACCTCCTATGTGGGCTCCTGGTTTCCCCGGGTTTCCTCCAGGCCCACCTCCCATGCATGCTTTCAGACAGGTAAGAAGAAAGTGTTTGTACCTTTTTTCTTTTATTATTCAGTGAATAGAATTAACTGGTGATAGACTGTTTTCATACATTAATTGCTTGACATTAAAATGTCGACTTTAATCCAACTCCTTTAAATTCTTTGAGAAGGTTGGCTTTTTGCTGCAGTTAAAGTAATGGTAAAATGAAATGTAAACAATTAAATGGAATATAAACAACCTCTCAGATTTGGCATTTATCACAGGTGCAAGTTTTGTTGAGACTGAACTTATTTTAAGTAGAGGTTGTTTAAGCTATTAACCTCCTTTCAGTGTAAAATGATCTTGTAATACTGAGATCACAGTACTTGTTTTCAACCTTTTTTTTTCTTTTGTGTCCTCTAGCAGGGGGGAAGCAGGCGATCTGGTGGTCATGGGCCTGTACCTCCTTCCTGGCCTCCCATGATGCCTTTTGGTCCTCCGGTGAGTTGGAAATGTGTCTTGTACACTAATTACAAACGCAAAAGCCACATCAGATGCTGATTTATCTGAGCACTGGGATCTGCATTCTATGTGTAAAAAGGAGGCATTTGCCCATCCAGCTAGTAAATTGATTAACAAGCTGTCCATATAGCACATTAGTGATGGACAACAAATATCGTCAGACTCCAGCATCTGCAGTCTGATCACACTCCCTCTGCTGTTGATTTCTCTACCTCAGATGATCCCTCCACCTCCACCAATGAGCCCTGACATGGTGGATGACGAGGCTTTGGGCAGCGTGCTCATCTCCTGGTACATGAGTGGATATCACACAGGATACTACCTGGTATGTGCATGCTGGCTAATTGGCTTATTATGGGCTATAAAAGGGATTTACAGCTTTTACTTACAGGCTCAGTCTCTTGCATTATGTAGTGAAGAGAAGTAGGCGTATGTGGTAATTTGGACACTTTTTTGCCTTTTTGGTGAAGTTGCTCCATTTTGTTTTGCTTCTTAGCTAGAAAAGCCTTTTTAACAAATGCCCCCAGGTTCATAATAGGTAGGAGTCCTTGATTTCTAAAAGGGGGAGCTCTATTAACATCAGATTCCTCGTTTTATTTTATTTTTTTACAGGGTTTGAAACAAGGCCGCAAAGAAGCTGCCAACTGGACAAAACTGCATCACAAATGAAATGATCAACTCAAGATTTCATCCTTGTTTGAGAAGGAAATTAAGTGTACATGCTGTGAACAGAGTGTTCATCTGAGTTCAAGGAAAAGAGTTTTGTATTCTTCTGTAAATATATTAAATAAAGGCTATCACAGCACCCTTGGTAACTGGCTTGGTATTTTGTTTTTATTACACTGTGCACTGTTTATTACACTGCTGAGACAAAATTATGTAAAATTAAAACTTATTAAACAGTAGATTCTTGTAAATACAGGCACTTTTTTTCACTCATTATTAACACATTTTTCTAATTTATTTTACTAATTTGCAAAAGAGGGAAGTGTTTGCTCTAGATTATTTATGGAAATGTATGTGTGACAAACTTAATGTATTCTTGTAATGGCAAGTATTGTCCAGTAGAAGTCAGACTAGTATAATGTATTCACATTATAGGGAAATGTTGCATGACTACATCATAGCATGGTGTTTAAACCTACACAGAGGAGCACTTGTGTGTCTCTTGGCATGCTAAGGCTCTGATTGCAAGCCAGACTTGAGTCCTGCTTCAGTCCCTCAGGAGCTTTCCACACAGTTAATTCAAAGTCTCATTCCAGTATACACCTTGCATTCCAGCTCTCTGTTGTCCCTGAGGTGTTGCCTCGTCCGCCACCCAATATAGGATCGCATCTATCATAATGTTTTTCAACTCACATCAGATGGGTGCACATTTTCTGGGTGATAGCAGGCAAGGTCTCAGCTACAGACAGTATGGCAGACTGGGCCAGATGTGCAGATAAAGACTGATTCTCTAGCAAAATCACTGATACATGAAGATCATATTAAGATCATTCAAAGACATTTTGTCCTCATGTCTTTTACACTCGACAAACTCAACCTTGCAAACCTTAAATGTTGATGAGAAAAGAGACAGATATTCGTATTTCATAACTTTATACAGCAGAGCACAAAGTCTGCTCACCTGCTTAGCTGTCCCTGAAAACTGATGCTGGAATGTTTCAGGTTTAATCATGTAAGAAACGTAGGGCAATGGCTGCAAATGCTGTATGCAAGTTTATATTTAGAATATAGAAAACCACATGTAATTACAGTTGGAACAACCACAGTCATTCTGCTGAGGCTGTTGCACTTTCCTTCCATGAAAAGAAAGTCAAACAGATTCCCTGCATTTTCTATACTGGTGATTTACTGCCTGCTTGCACCCAGTCTTCAGGTTCTAAGCTAGTGGGCAATTGATCATACACTATGTATGTATATACATATTTACATATATATATATATATATATATATATGTGTGTGTGTGTGAAAGAGAGAAACAGAATAGGGTTTTGTGGTGGGATGTAACAGCATGAATGTATCCTGTTTTTTTATACCATGTGATCTTCCTCCAGCTGCTCCTTAGCTATTGCTCTCTGAGTGAAGAGCGGTCCCTTTGTTTGTGCACTGACTGTGGTTGGCATTTTGTAGCCCACTGTGACTGTGTCAGTGTTGACTGCTATATTTGATTCTCACTGTAGCAGTCACTTTTGTCTTGTTCCCTGCT